AACTGTAGACGCGCTCCCGGGAACTCTGCGATATCCGCACGCGTGAGGGCGCGAATCTCATTTTGTTCTGAGCTATTACAGTTAGGACTCATGTCACAGCTCTGAATCTAATCTCACAATGTGCGATGTAAGATCGATAAATCACCAAAAAGTCCAAACCCGGCAAATCATTTTGGAAAACTAATTTTAAATAAAGAAGTGTCAAACATGGACTGCTTTGCCAGATACAGAGTTACCACCTAAATATTTTATTTTGGGGGAATTTAGGAAATCCTAACTCGTGCCTAAGGCCACGTGTCCGTCATCACCAAAGTTGCCTCGACTTGGGAACTTGGGTACGAGAGGGAAAGGTCATGCAATGAGCACCCTCGCTCGCCCGATCAAAAGATCGGCCTTTACTAAGCATGATATTTTGTTTTGAAAACACGTGTTATTATTCTGGTTAATTAGCTAATCTTACTACATGATGCGCACAGCATACAAGTGTAGACTAGATCGCCTAATTTGGAACAAAAACATTACATGTTCGTTTGTGAAAATGATTTGAAGTTTGCTACTCGCAAGTAGGCTAAATTATGTGTCGATGAATTGTTCCAATTCAGGTAATCCAACCTTCACCCGCAGGCATTCAGGCAGTTAATCAAATAAGCAATTAGCCTCGTGGCAAGCATGCTTTCATGGTAACATTAACACACATGTAGTATGCTAAAGCGTAAACACTCACAGTGTACTCCAAGCCAAAACAAAGAACTAGTTAGAAATCATGCATGATCCTAGTTCATGTTAAGATGGCTAACACAACACATGCAAGAATGCGGCTAAAATAGGCTCGGCTGTTCTAGAATGTCATGTGAAATGCAACTTGGTAACATGCTGTTGAACACGTATTCAAGTAAATGTATTGAAAATACAATGCAGTTAGTATGATGCACCGAGCTTGGTGCATGCAATATAGATGAATGGATGCACGCATGCAAGCATAAGGTATGCTAATCGAAATATGCCCTAAAACTAACCATCATAAGCGGTTAAGTAAAAGGGAGAAATGAATGGGGGTTGGAAGACATGCATCACACACACACATGCTTATTACAATAATACGCCCTCTCGACGGAGGGACCGAATAAAAAAGCTAACTAGCTAATCTAAGCTAATTAAACTAATTATTACAAAACAAATTAATTAACCAATCCTAGTTAACTAATTATTACAAAACAAATTGAAATAGCTAAACCTATTAACTATTAAAGTACAAAAAGAATGCTTAATCTAGCTAAGTAAAGAAGCTAAATAAAGCAGTAAATCGAGGTGCCCTCAGAGGAAAGAAAGCATGCATGCTCAGTCGCCTCGTTTGGAAATCCGTCGCGATGCCCCAATTTGCCTCTGTTTACAATTGTTTCCAGAACACTGCACAAAGCTCCAGAAAGCTGAAACTTCATCATGAGAACCTGTTGGAGGGTTGCCAATCAGTTGTTGAGGAAGGAGACCACCTGGAGACCATTTTCTGTGCTGAAAAACAAGAAAAGTGGTCGGCCAGCTAGTAATACTAGTCGGTCGACCAGCTGTTGCTGCTGAATTCCAATTTGCTGCAACAGAGAGCAAGAAAGGGCATGGCAATGTATTTGCAAGATATGTGTGCACAACCACCTTTCCTATCATGTCATGAGCTCAAGGGAGTATGGTTCTCGACCCTTGGGCCACCAATCGCGTATTTCAATGCACGATGACCGAGAGGCGAAGTTGCACAATTCAATATAAAATGAATGCACAAGTAACCTCATAAGCCTAAAACTCTATCACGCTTGATCAGGAGGGTTGTCGGCGATAGAGAATTGAGGCACGTTTCATCACTTCAAGTATGAAACGTCCCTCGTTTCTTGTGTTTGGACTAACACCTATTCCAAATAACAATGCAACACATAACATGGCATACACAATGCGACTCGAGCATGCAAACATGCAATGCAACATGAACAACCGAACAAGGCTAATGGCATGCAAACAATGCTAATGCATGCATGTACAATGAAATGCTACAAGGGCAACATAGCAATGTTAGGAACATGCATACTCAATGCAAAAGAAACAACTTGGCATACACAATGCAAATAACCACATGGCATGCACAATGCAATGTAAGATGGAATACTTAATGCAATGAACAATAAGCATGCGAACAACATATAAACAAGCATGCTAAATGGACTTAAACCAAAAGAGGGTAGTCCTCAGTCATGCCCAAATCAGTGGCCATAAGGATGAAATAAGGTACATAAAGCACATACAAGCATGCACATGCAATGGCCCATCAAAGAGGCCTAAGAGCACAACTCTCAAGAGTGCTCAAAGAGTGACAAACATGGAAATGAAGCAACACCAAGTGTGACACCCCGATTCTACACTATTGGTTGCAGTCAAGGGAGAGTCAGTAATGAGTCCTATGGTCAATAACCAAGTAAGATCCCAGATCGCCGGAGGAGTTAAATTAGCCTCCCTTCTAAGTCCAGCTTTCTTAGGCAGCGCACTACCCTTTTGACAGATCTTAAAAGGTATTGACACAAGGTCCCATAAGTAACGATAGGGTTCACACATAGAGTATAAATACATAACAACAACAATATATATATTCTTAATTCAAAAGATGGTTTCATTACATTACATCCCAAAAGAAAGCTTAAATCTTCAAATGGGTCTTTACAAAACAACCAAAAGAAAACTTCTAATTTTTCTAGGATAGCCAAAAGTCTTCAAAAGTTTCAGGCTCGTCGTCTCCAGCTATGAGTTCCACTTCGTCACCTGGCATGAGACGTCGTGAGCTTTGAATGTCCAGTAAACACACACACACCCTACCCCTTTTTCCCAGTCCAATACACAATCACAATTATAACATCAAGTAATAAAGCATGATACTCAAATAAATAAGTAAAGACTTAGGTCAGATGTTAGTAAACTAGAAATCCCCCAAAGAGATTTCGTCCTCCCAACCACAAGAATCGGACGCCGATTATTCGGTATGCCCCCTCTTTTGCTACTTTGTTGCAGACCTAACCTCCGATGCCTACCAACGGTTATGTACCGTGTAGCGCCAACCACATGGCCTCAAAAGGGATGGTAAAATAGGGCCTTGCCTGAATCCCTCCTCACACCGAACGACCTAGGGTTCGAAAACAACCGCTCCGTTCAAAGGTTCCGAAAACCACTTGCGCAAGACTTTAACTTTCAAATAGGAAACGCATCCCAACAATCCATATATCACATATTCTCATCTTTTCATTACTCAAGTGCTCGAAAACCCAATACCCTCCCAATTAGGTTTCCCGTTAAGTTAAATGTTTTAAATCAAGTTAATCCAACTTACAAGACAATAATATCCACATAGGCATGCATCCATAATGCGAGGAAGATAAATAACATAACCATAACACATACAATATCATGCCAAGATATGATCATAAGCTAATAAACATTTTTATGAATACAAGGGCATAAAACGTCCATGCATAACAAATTTTCCAGATTTAGCATCACATAAAGATTAAAATGAAAGGACTATTTTAGATCTTCCACCGGACTTGGTTTTCCTATGGTTCGTAGAAAATTTGATCTAGTTTCTAGAACATTTTTCGGAAATGGGATTACTTTTCCAGATTTTAAGTTATTTAAAAAAAAGTCCAGTGCTGTCCAGAATCTGTCCAGATCCGTCGATCGTTACGAAAACTTGATTTTATTGCAAACCGCTTAATGTTTTTCGATGAAAACAATTTTAGTTGAAAGCTAACTCCTTAAGGAAGGTTTTGACATAAAATAGAGGTCCAGAATAGCTTTGTACTTTTTTTCTGGAATTTTTGAAAGTGGGCTGCAAAAACAGATTCTAAGATAGACTGTCCAAAACATGAAGATTTGTGAGAAAAGGGTTCTACCAAGGGAAAGTTTTCATTTATTTTATGAAGAAAACATCCTAACTAACATATATTTACTCAGAAAGTTTGCTTGAAAGTGTGCCTTGGAAAGTTGAGAGATTGGTAATAAAAGAGGATGGTTTTGTACCAAAAAGGGAAAAATACAAGAGAGATGGAATCAATATTCAAATCTTAGTATTTTTAACATAAGAACTCTTTAATGACAGATCTGAAACACATTATTTAGAGACATGTATTGAAAGAAGGAAAATAAAAGAGAAGTTGTGTTTGTGGCTTACTTGCTAATTTTGCACAAGAATGCTCTCTTCTCCCTTCCTCTTCTTCTCTAGACTCCTTTCTCTCTTGCTCTCCTCCCTCTCCCTAACCTAATGTGTGTATGTGGGTGTGGTGTTTGTGCTTTGCCAAGCTAGGGGAGGTTGATATTTATAGACAATTTTTGATGTAAAAAGTCCTAAAAGCCCATTAGTTGGAAATGGATGGAAATGTTAGGATTTGTTTGGATTCTAAGGAAATGGAAGGGATTTGGGAGGCTTGGTCAATGATTTAGGCAGCACTTAGTTAAAATGGAACTAGTTTTGGAATTAGCACCCTAGGTCTAGGTACTAGGTTGGTGGTTTTTCTTAGAAGTTCATGATGATGTTTCTTGGAAATTGATTTCTCACTTTCTTCTAGGAAGGCTAGGCATAGGGAAGGGCGAAGGGAATTTTTTTAATTATTTTATGTCATAGGCACATTCCTCAAGGTGTATACATATATATATATATATATATAAAGTTGATGGTACTTCAAGGTAAAAGGTACAAGTACTAGTTTTTGGGGCAAGTTAAAGGGTGAGGGCTTGGAGTTAAATACATGTAACTTATGTAGAATTAAATTAGGTTAGGGAACTTATTCCGGTTAGGGAAATTCCTGTTTCAATAAAAATAAAAATAGTAATGCTAACTGATGATATTCGAATTAATTCAAGTAAACGAGGGGCTTTAAGAAAATAATTCAAACATTAGGGTTTTTATAGTGAATACATATTTCAGGGGTTTCACCCCCTATCCCCCTTAAAACAATTTCGTCCCCAAAATTCAACTACACACTATCTTCGAAAATCTCAGGGTAGATTGCCTTCATCCAATCCTGGCGTTCCCAAGTAGATTCCTCAATTCCCTGATGACGCCATTGCACTTTTACCAGGTGAACCGTCTTGCCTCTAAGGTTCTTTTCTCGATGATCTTGTATTGCTACCGGTCCTTCTTTAAATGTAACATCTTTGTCAGGACTGATCTCTTCAAATTTGAAGACGTGTGTCGAGTCAGCGATGTATTTTCTCAACATAGACATATGGAAGGCATTGTGTATTCCTGCTAACTGCGGTGGTAGAGCTAATCTATATGCTACTTCACCCACTGCACCCTTTCCAATACCTCAAAAGGTCCAATATATCGTGGCGACAGCTTCCCCTTTCTCCCAAAACGTACGACTCCACGCCTGGGTTGCACCTTTAGAAACACGTGGCTACCTACTTCAAACATCAATGGTCTTCTCCTCTTGTTTGCATAATTCTTTTGGCGGTCTTGGGCAGTCTTTAACCATTGTTGGATCAATTTGACTTTCTCAGTAGTTTCTAGAGCAAGTTCGGGTCCTATCAAATTTGCATCACCCACTTCCGTCCAACAAATCAGTGATCTGCAAGGTCGTCCGTATAATGCTTCAAAAGGCGCCATACCGATGCTAGCTTGAAAGCTGTTGTTGTAGGCGAATTCAACTAGGGGTAGGTGTCATTCCCAACTTCCTTGAAAATCCATCGCGCACGCTTTTAGCATATCTTCGAGTGTCTGGATAGCGCGCTCAAATTGTCCATCTGTCTGTCGGTGAAAGACGGTGCTAAAAGCTAGCTCCGTATCAAGAGCTTCCTGCAAGCTTCCCCAAAATCGAGAGGTGAATCGTGGATCACGATCTGACACAATAGATACTGGAATTCCATATAGTCGAATGATCTCCCCAATGTAGAGTCTGCACATAGACTCTAAAGTCTCGGTCATCTTATAGGGTAAGAAATCACTATTACCCATATAGCATTGCGTCCTCTAGGTGACTTAGGCAACCCTGTCACAAAGTCCATCGTCACGTACTTCCACTTCCATTCGGCTATCGGTAGAGGTTGCAACATTCCCCCTGGTTTCTGATGTTCCGCCTTCACTTGTTGGCAAGTCAGACATCTTGCTACAAATTTAGCCACTTCCTTCTTCATTCCATTCCACCAATACTGTCTCTTCAAATCTTGGTACATTTTAGTCCCTTCTAGATGTACCGCGAATGTAGAATGATGACATTCTTTCAGTACCTTTTCTCTACGCAACTCATTACTTGGTACAAACTACTTACCTTGGTATCTTAAACTCACATCAGGGTGAATTACCCAATCGGGCATGGGTTCTCCTGATTCCTGACGTTCCTTGATGTAGGCTACCTCTTGATCGTGTTTCTGGGCCTCCATGACCTCATTCATCAACTTGGGCATCACCTTCTGTGCACTAAGATATGCTTCTGTATCTTGAGATTCTACTTGGATCCTGAACTCATTGAGTGTCTTAACCATATCCCATTCCTTGACGGAGATCTTAGCCATCATCCCCCTGGTCTTGCAACTTAGAGCATCTGCTATTACATTGGCTTTACCGGGGTGATATGAGAGAGTGAACTGGAAATCCTCAAGATACTCCATCCATCGTCTCTGTCTCAAGTTAAGGTCCTTCTACGTGAATAGATACTTCAGGCTCTTGCGATCTGTGAAAATCTCAAATTGTTCCCCGTACAGGTAATGTCGCCACTGCTTTAGGGTAAAAACTACGGCCGCTAACTCCAAGCGAGTCATTGGTTTAGCTAGTTTGGAGAAATCTTGGATGAACCTCCGGTAATAACCGGCCAATCCTAAGAAGCTGCGAATTTCTGACACGATTTTTGGTTGTCTCCAATCTAATATTGCCTCCACCTTGGTTGGATCCACCACAATCCCATTCTCTGATACCACGTGCCCTAAGAATTTTCACTTCATTCAACCAGAACTCACATTTACTCGCCTTGGCATATAACCGATTTTCCATAAGAACTTGAAGGATAGTCCTTAAATGTTGCTCATGCTCTTCTTCAGACCTTGAATATACCAAGATGTCATCAATGAACGCTACTACAAACTAGTCAAGGCATGGTCTAAAGATCTTATTCATTAGGCTCATGAATACTGCCGGTGCATTGGTTAGTCCGAAGGGCATTACTACAAACTCATAGTGGCCATCTAGTACGAAAGGCAGTTTTTGGTATATCCTCCTCCTTGATTCGTAGTTGAAGGTAACCTAACCTGAGACCGATCTTTAAATAGCACCTTGAGCCTCTAAGTTGGTCAAAAAGGTCGTCAATCCTTGGGAGTGGGTATCGGTTTTTAATCGTGACTTGATTGAGTTGACGATAATCGATGCATAGCCTCAATGACCCATCCTTCTTTTTAGAAAACAACACGGGTGCTCCCCATGGCAAAGTACTTGGTCTAATGAATCCTCTCTCGAGCAATTCCTGTAGTTGTGTCTTCAATTCTCGTAGTTCTGCTGGTGCCATGCGATACGGGGCCACGGATATTGGGGTGGTTCCAGGTTGTAGCTCAATATTAAAATCGACCTCCCGGGTTGGTGGCAATCCTGGTAACTCCGTTGGAAATACATCTGCATATTAGCATACTACGTGTGGAAGTTCTATTTCTCCTTGGCCCTCCTCATTTAGAATCAGACGTGCTATCTTACCCGCAAGTTGATCGCGCCACTGCGTCCTACATTTTGTTGAAGTCATGGGGTCTTGTCTATCTCCCTTAAACTGGAAATGTGTTCCGCCATGCGTGTGAGCTACCACTTTCCTCTGACGCCGGTCGATCACCGCTCGGTGGGTAGACAACCAGTCCATGCCCAAAATGATATCGAAGTCCGACATTTCCATGACACGAAGGTTGCAAGTTAAGTGTAGGTTCGACATTCCTATTTTACAGTCCTTACAGATCAATCTTATCCGAACGCATCCTCCCATAGATGACATTACATCTAAGGCAGTTTCTAAGGGTTCTCCTACCAGTTCTAATGATTTAGCACAAGTAGAGGATATAAAAGAATGTGATGCACCAATATCAATAAAACATGCACCCAAGAGTTGTATAGCACTAAATTACCCTCAATTACAGACGGGCTTGCAAGGCAAAGACTCTACTGGTTGCCTTCTGGCTGCTCCTTTCTAGTCCCTCATGAAGTTGGGTTTTCTTTCCACAGGCTCCAAATCCTCTTGGATTTTACCTCCTTTCATTCTGAAGTCAATGTTGCGCTGATTATTTCCACAAAAATGGTAAGACTCCTCCAAAATTTGATTCTTGATAGGGTTCGATATTTTAGCCACGGTTACTAGTCCATTCTTAAGGTTTCAATTTCTTGGTACTGTATTTCTATTGTTGCTTGCAAGCTCATGTTATTACTTGTCTCGAAGTATGGTCCACCATTTGTTGTTCTTTGAATGAGGTGAGGCGTAAGTCAAATTCTAACTACAGAGGCAATTCCTTATGGGTAAGCAACTAATCTTAAGTTAGAGTTTGATTATCTTAGGGTGTTCACACAGCACAACTTCATATATACATAATAATAATTACATGATTCTTAAAATTAGATTAAAGTGGAGACGAAGAATACGAAGCAGTTATGGTGATAACGTCAGGATTAACTGAAATATGGATGAATGGTATGATGTTATTGTTTCGAACTTCAATGTGATCAACGGTTATAGATGTAGTGACTAAACTAGATATTTAACTTGAAACTGCATTGGCCATCCGCGTTTCAAACTGAATATCCAAGATTCATCACCGAGTAAAGAAAATGAAATTATTTACAAGAAGTCTTGGGCTAAATAAAATAATCAAGGGTCAAAGGAGGTCGAATTTACAAATAGTAGTATATAAAACAGGACCAGATGGACAAGACTTAATCTTGGAAAAGGGTGACATTGAATAAAGGTTATGAATACAAGATGAGGGTACGACAACCAATAGAAGACACGTAGAACTAATAGTACCCCCTACTGCGCGATGTGAGGCCTCACTCAAAGTTAAAACCATTTCACGATCCTGAAGTAGGTCCTCATGAGTTGATGTTAGTGTGCCCAAAATTCGAAGAAATTCCCTAAGATAGGTCAAGAAAGATTCTAACATAGTCAGGGCAAGGTAGTCTCTAACCGCAAGTCGAAACGCGTGGGTATGGGTTGAACCTATGCTCTGATACCAACTTATGACGCCCCGATTCTACACTATTGGTTGCAGTCAAGGGAGAGTCACTAATGAGTCCTATGGTCAATAACCAAGTAAGATCCCAGATCGCCAGAGGAGTTAAATTAGCCTCCCTTCTAAGTCCAGCTTTCTTAGGCAGCGCACTACCCTTTTGACAGATCTTAAAAGGTATTGACACAAGGTCCCATAAGTAACGATAGGGTTCACACATAGAATATAAATACATAACAACAACAATATATATATTCTTAATTCAAAAGATGGTTTCATTACATTACATCCCAAAAGAAAGCATAAATCTTCAAATGGGTCTTTACAAAACAACCAAAAGAAAACTTCTAATTTTTCTAGGATAGCCAAATGTCTTCAAAAGTTTCGGGCTCGTCGTCTCCAGCTATGAGTTCCGCTTCGTCACCTGGCATGACACGCCATGAGCTTTGAATGCCCAGTAAACACACACACACCCTACCCCTTTTTCCCAGCCCAATACACAATCACAATTATAACATCAAGTAATAAAGCATGATACTCAAATAAATAAGTAAAGACTTAGGTCAGATGTTAGTAAACTAGAAATCCCCCAAAAAGATTTCGTCATCCCAACCACAAGAATCGGACGCGGATTATTCGGTATGCCCCCTCTTTTGCTGCTTTGTTGCAGACCTAACCTCGGATGCCTACCAACGGTTATGTACCGTGTAGCGCCAACCGCAGGGCCTCAAAAGAGACGGTAAAATAAGGCCTTGCCCGAATCCCTCCTCACACCAAACAACCTAGGGTCCGAATACAATCGCTCCGTTCAAAGGTTCCGAAAACCACTTGCCCAAGACTTTAACTTTTAAATAGGGAACGCATCCCAACAATCCATATATCACATATTCTCATCTTTTCATTACTCAAGTGCTCGAAAACCCAATACCCTCCCAATTAGGTTTCCCGTTAAATTAAATGTTTTAAATCAAGTTAATCCAACTTACAAGACAATAATATCCACATAGGCATGTATCCATAAAGCGAGGAAGATAAATAACATAACCATAACACATACAATATCATGCCAAGATAAGATCATAAGCTAATAAACATTTTTATGAATACAAGGGCATAAAACGTCCATGCATAACAAATTTTCCAGATTTAGCATCACATAAAGATTAAAATGAAAGGACTATTTTAGATCTTCCACCAGACTTGGTCTTCCTATGGTTCGTAGAGAATTTAATCTAGTTTCTAGAGCATTTTTTGGAAACAGGATTACTTTTCCATATTTTAAGTTATTTAAAAAAAAAAGTCCAGTGCTGTCCAGAATCTGTCCAGATCCGTCGATCGTTACGAAAACTTGATTTTATTGCAAACCGCTTAATGTTTTTCGATGAAAACAATTTTAGTTGAAAGCTAACTCCTTAAGGAAGGTTTTGACATAAAATAGAGGTCCAGAATAGTTTTGTACATTTTTCTGGAATTTTTGAAAGTGGGCTGCAAAAACAGATTCTAAGATAGACTGTCCAAAACATGAAGATTTGTGAGAAAAGGGTTCCACCAAGGGAAAGTTTTCATTTATTTTATGAAGAAAACATCCTAACTAACATATATTTACTCAAAAAGTTTGCTTGAAAGTGAGCCTTGGAAAGTTGAGAGATTGGTAATAAAAGAGGATGATTTTGTGCCAAAAAGGGGAAAATACAAGAGAGATGGAATCAATACTCAAATCTTAGTATTTTTAACATAAGAACTCTTTAATGACAGATCTGACACACATTATTTAGAGACATGTATTGAAAGAAGGAAAATAAAAGAGAAGTTGTGTTTGTGGCTTACTTGCTAATTTTGCACAAGAATGCTCTCTTCTCCCTTCCTCTTCTTCTCTAGACTCCTTTCTCTCTTGCTCTCCTCCCTCTCCCTAACCTAATGTGTGTATGTGGGTGTGGTGTTTGTGCTTTTCCAAGCTAGGGGAGGTTGATATTTATAGACAATTTTTGATGTAAAAAGTCCTAAAAGCCCATTAGTTGGAAATGGATGGAAATGTTAGGATTTGTTTGGATTCTAAGGAAATGGAAGGGATTTGGGAGGCTTGGTCAATGATTTAGGCAACACTTAGTTAAAAGGGAACTAGTTTTGGAATTAGCACCCTAGGTCTAGGTACTAGGTTGGTGGTTTTCCTAGAAGTTCATGGTGATGTTTCTTGGAAATTGATTTCTCACTTTCTTCTAGGAAGGCTAGGCATAGGGAAGGGTGAAGGGAAATTTTTTAATTATTTTATGTCATAGGCACACATTCCTCAAGGTGTATACATATATATATATATATATAAAGTTGAT